CAGCTGCAACATCAATCTCTTAGTGACAGCATTGAATGGAAAGTTATACCTCCTGGATCGCCACACTTCGGTGGCCTGTGGGAAGCTGCCATAAAAACAGCGAAATGTCACTTCTGCCGAGCAATTGGTCTAACAATTTTAGATTTTGATGAACTACGCACACTGGTTTGTCAAATTGCTGCCATCATTAACTCTCGTCCGCTCTTCCCACTTTCACAATGTCCCGAAGATCTTGATGTTCTCACACCTGCCCACTTTCTAATTGGTGCTCCATTAACATCTATCATTGAGCCTGACATAACAAACTTGAATTTTAATCGGCTTGATCATTGGCAGCGTATTTCAGACATACAACAAGTTTTTTGGAAACTTTGTAGCACTGAGTATCTTACATTATTACAGGAGCGAACAAAATAGCGAAGCTCTTCTCCTAATATGTCTCTCGGTGCAATAGTGCTTTTAAAGGATGATAATCTCCCACCACTGCGCTGGTTACTCGGTAGAGTTGTTGAAATTATACCTGGTCCTGATGGTGTCGTACGTGTTGTGGTAATGCGTACTAAAAATGGTGTTTACAGACGTGCTGTGACAAAGCTCTGCATCTTGCCTGTAAATGATCTCTCTTGGAACGCGACCGTTCCAATGGGGGGAGAATGTTCGTGAAATTATTGTTATTAATGAACTAACTTAATTCTTTTTCAAACTTTATTTTTTTTTTGTGGTTGCACATGGCAACCCTATAATTGTATGAATTAAGCCTTTTTTTGAATTCAATAAATTATTATTTCTTTGAAACTTGAACGATTTTTTTGAATTTAATAAATTATTATTTCTTTGAAACTTGAATGATTTGGTTGTTTTTCATTTTTGTGTTCTCATACATTGTTTTGTTTCGCAGTGGCTTCAAAAACGCTTGAAGCCCCAACAAATACTTTAAAAAAAAATCTTTATAATACACTTGACAACTTTATTTCCATTTACTGTTGACACTTAGAAAAACAAAACAATTTTGCATATGAAATTATTTTCTATTAAATTTGCTACCTATTGTTCTTAGTTATGATAACGGTACCACAAATAGTATACGAAAACAACTCCATATATGGTCAGAGAAGTTAAACTCAATTACAGAATCAACTGTATATAAAAAAAATAGTACCATTATTCTAAGAAAAGAATAATGAAAAACAAATTTTGCACATATAATTATTTTACTGGGGTAGATTTGAATTATATTATATGAATTGTGTTTTACTATATACATGTTCATTTTCTACATTCTCTTTTGGTAGTTTTGTTTTGTACTGAACTCTGGTATACACTGAGTATACCCTGGCCGTGAAAAGGTGCCGGTAAGGTCGTTACAAAGTCACTCTATGCATGATATTTGCTACGTGAAAAAACTATCTGCTATATATGTTACTATTTTTATTAAAATTGTGTTTGTATAGTATATGTAATAATTTTTACTTAATAGAGTCATTCCCCATGGACCGCATCATGTATGATGTTGTAACTTGGAATATTATTGTTTAGTTATTAATAGTGTAGATAATGGCAAAGTATTCTAGTATATAAGAGTGGTCTTGTTATCAAGACACCACTGACAGTAAGCGCCATTTTTTACGTTTCATATTATTTTTTTACTTATTTTATTTTTACTCTTGTTTTATTTTTATTCTTATTTTATTTTATTGTTATTCTTGTTTTATTTTTCACAATGTTTTTAGGTCTCTTTTCATTTTAATTTTTTTTTAGATTTTTCACAACACATATTTTAACTCTATTATATTTTTAATATATTTTTATTATAACTCTGTTGACGAATCAACAAAGAATTTAGAATTAGGTCATAAGTTAATATTGACTCTCACCTACTGCTTAGTAAGCAGTTTGTGCGAATTAAATAATAATTTAATTTAAGTAATCATTGTATATCTTGCACTATAAAACTAATTAAAGTTGCATTTTATTTTGTATAAAAGACAAATTTTAAATAAAATCAGTTATTGACTTAGAATTAATGCCTCATTAATTATATGTTATATTATTATATATTATATAATATTATATAATTGTATAATATATTATTTTTATATAATTATATATATATAAAGTTCCGCACACGACCGTTCAGTTCAAAGATTTTTATTAAAGAGAACTTAAAACTAAAATAACAATAGTTGTATTACTATTAGTATGTAAAAGATTTAGTATAAGATTTATTATAAGATTAGTATAAGATAAGAGTATAAGTATAGGTATGTTATAAGAGTATAAGATTTTAGTACTTAATTGTACTGTTGCATTTATGCTGACAATTTTCATCCCTGCGGGATAGGGATTAGAATATTTCCGCGATAAGGCATGCTTGTCGGACGAGGCGACTAAAATCCAGCCAGGCGTCGGAAGGTGTGGGTTAAAAGGTCACAAAAACCCTGACTGACATTTTAAAGAACCTTCTTTCAAACGTCAAGCCGGATTGCTCGGAAGTTAAAATTTGAGCAGTCCAAAAGACAATGCAGGGTGCTCTGTTACTAGAGCTTGATAAGGGAACTAAGGCAAACTTAGAGTTCTGCGAGAAAGTCGGGAATGTTTTGCAAGAAACGGAGGTGGTAACTGGCCTGACACCGACAACCACCAATGAAATAAAGGATCTCGATGCGTTTATGACAACCACGAAAGTCGAAGAAGCAGTCGAACGATTCCTTTCAAGCGGAATCGATCGGTTGAAAGTTACTGTCATCAAACCAAATAAAAGAGAACTTGTCAGAGCTTACGTGCAACTCCCCACCGTAGCAGCTGATAAGCTTCTCGAGACAGGCTTGATCACTATTGGGCAAATATGCGGATGCGCACCGGAACTAAGCCCTGCTTCAGGTGCCTTGGCGTAGAGCATATGCTGAGAAATTGCAAAGGTCCAGACAGAACAAATCTCTGCATCAAATGTGGCGAACCTGGACACAAACTAAAGGAGTACATAAACCGCCCGAAGTGCTGCGTATGTACTGACGCTGGCTTCAAAATCGTCGATCACATTGCTGCATCTGGCAAATGTGCATCGGTTAAGATCCAGAAATGACAAAATTTTGCAAGGAAATATGCATCGAAGCAGGACAGCAAACACCCTTATATCGCAACTCATGCTGGAGCGGAACATGGATGTTGTCATAATCAGCGAACAGTGTCACGTGCTAGGTTGTTTTATTTAATAAAACAAAAAAACAAAAATAAAAAATGCAATTATGGTGATCAAAATGGATAAAAGGAAAAATAAGCAAAATAATAATAAAAAAAAAGAAAAAAACAAGAAAATGTATATAAAAGAAACTGTCTAAGGATAAAACTGGGTCTACCAGTGCCACTCTGTACTGTCTCTGTCCATGTCTATCAGTTTGGACCTAACAACCCTCACTACCCTACCGTAGTTACCATGAGCTGAAGTAAAAGGCCCTACTAAATTTCTTTCAGCTCTCTATTCTGATTAGTCGTCTCTGTCCTGTGTAACTCATTTTCACCTTACCTCAACCTAACATTGTCCCCTTTTTCACATCCACCTGTCATCTATATTTTCTGATCTTAATCCACTTGGAATAATTTTTCCTTTCTTACATTTTTTTTCATATGATATAACTAAGTAATATTCCAAAAAAAAAACAACAACAAAAAACCGATTTAGATTACAGTGATTCTATATTTAAGATATAATCAAAATAAACAAAAAAAGAAGGAAAAAAGAAAAGGTGAGTTATAAATAAATAACAAGAAACTAAATAAAATAATAAAAAATTAATAAAAGTAAATGTAAAATATGTATGTATATATGCAAATATAAAATGTCAAAAGAAATATAAAGAAAAAAACCAAAAAGAGAGGAGTACTACAAATTCGCCTTCCCGTCGATGACGTCATCAGCAAGAAAAGCTGTAAAAAAATAAACCAAACACTCCTTATATTTGTACTCTTAATATAGGCATATAGATCGGTGCCTATATACAATCATATATATTACGTTTATTTACTTTTTCTTTTCTCTTTTAAATATATTTTCAGTACCAAATTTAAATTAAAATTTTAATATATAATTTAAATTATTATTTAAATTATATAAGTATTATCTTAACTAGATTAATAAAAAAATAAAAAAAATAATGATATAAATGCCCAACTTGTAACGACACAAATTTACACAGTAAATTTCTATGTTACATATAACAAGAACAAGCGAAAAAGAAAATCTGAGTGTCACCTAACAACTACCTCTACACATAGTAAAAATAAAAACACTCACGTGAAGAAAACTGCAATGAATTTATCTAAAAAAATATGAAATTGAATAAAAATATTTATTTATAAATCACATGGACATTACCTGCGATCCTCGGTTCCAGCGTGCCGCGGGCATCGATGCATGCAATGTACAAAATCTTAAATATGCGGAAAAAAAATGAATTTCTTGTTACAATTTATGAATGGAAAAGACTTGTATTGGAATTCTGAACACAACAACAAATAAACAATTATTACAGAAAACACATTTATTTATTTATAAATATATTTAAGAAATAAATAAAATACAAAACAATTTAACGCTCATTTTTGCACAGCTTTTATTTCTTTATAACAATTGAAAAATACAAGAGTTTTTGTATTTTTTGAAGTTATAATAAAAAAAATTAAAATTATATTTTTTTATAAGTTGTTCAAGTTTGTGTTTTATTGAAATTAATTCACTTAAAAGATTAATTTATTAATTTAATTTATTAATTGATTATTAATTAATTTATTTAAAAGATTGAAATTTAAAAGAAATTTTAAATAAAGAATATCAAAGAACAAAACGCGTGCTGTTCACTTGGGACTTGAAAATGCAAGAGAGAGAATCAAAAAACCCAGTTCAGTCTGGAAGCTAAAGAACTGTATAAAATTAAAGTTGTTGTTATTTTTTGTTATATATTAAGATTACCGTATGTAATATGCAAGGTTGACGAAAGTCAACATTGGGTTGCATATTGACAACAAAAAATGAGCAGCACGCGTTTTATTTTAACTACTTTAAACAAAAAATGCAATATAAAAATGAAAACATTCAACACCGGCCGCGTTGAAGCACTCTTATGTGTTCAATTTTCCGGGAGCACCGCCAATTTATGTACTGGACGTCTCACAATCCCGTTGCTGGTATTGACGTCAACGACCCTGACCTTATTGTCGCGACCTGTAGTTACGGCTTCCACCCTTCCGAGCTTCCACTGGTGAGAGGGAAGGTTGTCTTCTTGGACGACGACTAGTCGGCCGACTGCGAGATTCGGCTGCTCGAACACCCACTTGTTCTTGGGCTGCAGCTGTAGGATGTAATCTTTCGACCAGGCCTGCCAAAACCTCCGTTTGAGCTCGCATAACAGACGCCAACGTTTCAAAGTGGTCAATTTGTTGTCGGAGACGCCTTGCGCGGATTCTTGCGGCAGCGTGTGGAGAGTACTTCCTATCAACAGGTGTGCTGGTGTTAGCGCCTCTTTGTCGTTCGGGTCTTGACTCAATGGACTGAGTGGCCGAGAATTTAGCAGGGCTTCTACCTCTACGAGCACTGTTTGCAGTTCTTCGCTGGTAAGAAGCGCACTGTTGGTTGTTCGTTGTATGTGGTGTTTTGCCGACTTTACCGCCGCTTCCCATAATCCTCCGAAATGAGGTGCCCTGGGTGGTATGAAGACAAACTCTATGCCCCTTTGTGCAGCATAGTATGCCAGATCGTCCTTGTGCTCTCGAAACGCCTCTATCAGCTCTCTCAGCTTGCGATCGGCACCTACAAAATTTGTCGCATTGTCGCAATAGATTTTTTCTGGGAGTCCTCGTCTTCCGGCAAACCTTTTAAGACAAAAAATAAAACAGTTAGTTGTCAGATCTGTTACAAGTTCTAAATGTATAGCCTTTGACGTGAAACAAACACTGCGATATACATTTTAACTGGTGGTCGACCACGAATTTTCAAAGTGGTGTATACAGGCCCACAAAAATCGACACCGCTAATTAAAAAGGGTCGTAGTGCCTTTAACCGATCTGCAGGTAAGTTTCCCATTACTTGGGTCAACAGCTTAGGTTTGTATCGAAAACAATGTATGCATGCTCTTACGGTTTTACTGCATGCCTTGCTTGAATTTATGACCCAAATTTTTTCACGAAGCAGCACTTCTAAGGCTTTTGGACCAGCATGACAATTGGTTGTATGGAGAAATCGTAAATAAATCTCGACAAAATGCAATTTTTTAGGTAACAGCAAGGGAAATTTTGAATCATAAGACAGTGGTGCGTTTAGCAGACGACCTCCTACACGAAGCAAATTGCATGTTCGAGAACCATCTTGGACTGTATGAATGAATGGAGTTAGTTTTTGAATGCTGACTGGTAATTTATGCGACTTCTTCAATTTTTCGATTTCTTCCTTGAATTCGTGATTTTGAATAAATTCAACGATTTTCAAGAATGCCCAATTAAGCTCCTTTGTGGTCGGAATAAGAGCGTTAGCTCTCTCGTTTTTCTTAGTCATAAAACGGAGAATGTACGCGAAAATTCTCAGCAGTCTTGGGTAAGATGATTGGCTACAGATTAGTATTGAAATGACATTAGTTTCAATTTCAACTGCTAAAAGTCCGACCTTGACCTTTCGTTTCTCTAAACTTTTCTCATCTGTTGATAGTGGAAAATGACTATTTTTTGGCCAGTTAGTGGCATCTTGAAGCAAATATGATGGGCCACGAAACCAAATTGAGTGAATCAACTCATCTACATCACATCCTCTGGAGACTAAGTCTGCAGGATTTAGCTTTGATGGAACGTGTCTCCAAAGAACTTCGCTCGTCCATTCTTGGATCTCTGCAACTCTGTTTGCTACAAATGTTGCTAAAGTAGATGGGTGAGTTTTAATCCAATGAAGTGTAATTTCGGAGTCCGTCCAAAAATAAACATCCCCGATTTCGCAAGTAATCAACGGCTGAATTCGAGACCATAGTTTAGCCAATAAATGAGCGGCACACAGCTCTAATCTGGGTAATGATTTTGTGCTTAAAGGAGCAACCTTAGATTTGGCAGTTAACAATTCAGAATGAATCCCATTCGAATCATGAATTCGGACGTAGATGCAACAGCCGTACGCTCTCATTGACGCATCGGCGAAACCGTGAATATCGCATTTTATATTTGAATGAATATGAACATACCGCGGAATGGAAATAGAGTCCATCTGAGTCAGGTTACTTTTAAATGCTTCCCAGCTAGAATCGAGATGCATAGGAATTGACTCATCCCAGTCAAGCTTCTGAAGCCAAAGTTCTTGCAATAAAATTTTTGCCTTAGTCACTATTGGGCATACTAGTACGAGGGGATCGAAGAGTCGAGCTGATACTGATAGTATGTTTCTTTTTGTTGCTCGCAAGTCATGAAACTTTTCGTCTACATGGAACTTAAGCGTATCATTCTGGGGACTCCAGTGTATACCTAGCGCCTTTGTGGAATCAGTATTATTAACATTTAGAAAGAAGTCTGACGAGTCATACGTTTTATGGTTTGAAAACCATTTCGCTAATTTAAGTCCAGCCGCATCAAGAATTTCAGTACATTGGGTACGAATTGTTTCCAGTTCCTTCAGACTGTCAGCACCAGTCAATAGGTCATCGACATAGAAGTCATGTCGGATAACCCTTGCTCCAACTGAATGAGAATTCTTGTACAGGTCACTTAAGTAGTTTAGGCAACGTGTTGCCAAGAAAGGAGCAGGTGAAGTACCATATGTCACTGTGTTCAGTTTATAAACGTTAATCTGATCCGTAGGTTTTTCCCTCCAGAGAATAAGCTGGAAATTGCGATCTGCCTCGTCAACTTCGATTTGACGGTACATTTTTGTAATGTCAGCAGTCATCGCGTATTTATGCATACGAAAGCGAAGTAGGATTGAATACAATTCTTCTTGTACCGTTGGACCAACCATTAGAATGTCGTTCAACGATACTTGTGAAGATGTTCGGCATGAAGCATCGAACACGACGCGAAGTTTTGTCGAGGTACTCTGAGGTCGCAACACACACTGATGCGGTATATAGTAATGAGGTGTCGAAGAAAAGTTGTCAGTAGTTAATGTCATGTGACCTAAGTCACGATACTCTGCCATAAACTCCATATACAGCTTCTGAAGCATACAGTCTTTCGACAACCTGCGTTCCAGTGAGAGAAAACGATTTTTTGCTGTTTCATATGACTGACCTAGAAGGTTGGGGTTGGATTTGAAAGGAAGCTGCACCTTAAGCCTCCCTGAAGGTAAGCGTAAAATTGTGTTGAGAAACTTGGTCTCACAGTGTTGTTGTTCGATTGTGTATTTATTAACAGTGAGCTCCTTGGGAATTTCTTCCAATTCCCAGAATTTTTTCACAAGAGAGTTTAGGCAGAAATCACCTGTTGACTCTGCTTCTTGAAGGCGTATTAAATTGCATATCTTAGATGCATTACTTGGGACATCTTTATATTTTCCTGATACAATCCATCCAAGTAAAGTTTTTTGGAGAATTGGAAGGTCAGCACCTAGTTTTATTTGCCCAACTGATAAGAGTTCGAAAAAGGTTTCTGCACCCAGGAGAAGATCAACTTTGTGAGGTTTATGGAAACATGGATCGGCAAGTGGAACATTTGAAGGAATGTTCCAGTTATTCATTGACAAAGTCGTAGCAGGTTGGTAGGTGGATATTGAATGCATTATCCAAAAATCCGTCGAAAAATTATGAGAATTGATGCGGGATCTCACAGTAGCATGCAGTCTGTGCTTCACTGTGGAATTTACCTTACCAATGCCAATTAAGTTTAGTGTGTCAGAGTCCCTTTTTAATTGAAGTCTCTGGGCAAGTTCTTCTGTTATGAAATTTACCTGAGAACCTGAGTCTAACAGTGCTCTAGCTAACTGGTACTCTCCAGATTTGCCTTGTATAGTGACTACTGCGGTAGCTAAGATAATGTGGTCATCGCTCGAAGAGGTGTGGTTTACAAAAGCACGAGAAGCTGGTAGATTAGTAGGTTGTCTATGAGTCGGAACTGAACCTGGTTGAGATAAACTAGTAGAGTATTGATGCAAGAGAGTATGATGCGATCGGTTGCATACACGGCAACGTGATGCATTACATTTTGACACAGTATGTCCTTTTTTTAAACAGTTTATGCAGGACGAAGACGATTTAATGAACGTAAACCGTTCAGAAAATGATAGAGCAGCAAAAGCGGAGCATGAATTTATTATATGTTCTTTCGAATTACAGAACAAACATCTACTTTCCTCTTGCGAACCATTTTTTTTGCACACAAGTGAAGATTTTGCATTCTTACTGTGCCAGTTGTCCTGTTTTGGCCTGTTCGATCGAGACCTTAACGTGGAAGCTTCGTCAGCAGAAATGTGTTGATATCGCTTATTTAACGCAGTCTCGCAATCAGGCCAGAGTGGCAGCTTGTTGTAGTCTAATTGCTCCTCCCATTTGGATTTTGTAGCGGCATCGACTCTTGACATGACTAAATGAATAAGAATCGCATTTGAAATGTTCTTATCATCTCCTATTGACAATAGGGACTCATATATGGCAGAAACAGTATCTATGATATTGCGCAAAGCAGAAGCAGATGGCTTGTTCATTTCTGGAAGTTCAAAAAGCTGCGAGATACTATCGAAAAAGATTAATCAAGTGTTATCGTAAACTCTTTTTAAACTAGCTAATGCCTTTGAATAATTTGTTTCAGTGAGTTGAAATGCCTTAACTGTACCAAGAGCTTCGTCAGACAAACATGAAATGAGATGATTGAATTTTTCAATATCAGTTAGCGACTGATCATTGTGCACTAAACTTTCAAAAAGGCTTATGAAGTTTTTGTACTCAGAATGTTTCCCGCTAAATTTAGGTAAACGCATACTTGGCAGCCTGGAACGATGATTGCTGCATTCATGCGAAGTATCAGGGATACTAGACTTGCGATTTTTACCTAGCGCCTGTAGAACCAATGATTTCGAAGCAACGCAGATTTCTTCTAGATCTGGCCGAAATACATCAAACTCATTGATACACTCTATTTTTTGTTGACAAGTCATGGCCTGTTTAATATATGAATTGAGAATGTCCAACCTACATTCCAGTTCTACAGGGTTTAAATCAACAGTTTTTTCCGAAATTACTTTTTTAATACGCAAGATACTGGCCACTACAGTTTCTCGCTGCTGGATTAGTTTATCCAATTCTTCATTTTTTTGTGGGGATGATGCTCGCTTTTTAGTTGACATAGTGAACACAATTTACTAAATTTTTTAAGAGAGAAGGCAATGCAGCGCAAAGCACGATAAGAGTATTTGAATACTGTTGAGCGACGGTTGTAAGTAAATTCCAACAAAGTAAACGCGAGAAATTAGCGAAACGAAAGATGCACTCACTTTGTTTATACAATAATAAAAAACGATAAATAATCAATATTGTGATTATAGGTAAATTCCAACAAAGTGGTTGCAAGTAAATAGCGAAAACGAAAACGAAAAATGCATTCACTTTGTATATAATTTGCCCCTGCAAATTACTCAATTATTTATATTAAATAATTGGATTTACCGAACGTATTTGTTAATGAAGCTCAACCTCAACTTTGTAAATTTGTTTCACGTTTGTCAAATTATTTATTATAGAAATAGATAAATATAAATATATGTGTTTTAAAAGTGCAAATAATTACCAGTGCAAAATTTATTTGAAATACTTCCCTTGACTATTTTGTTTAGTCAGAGCATGACCTGGTACAATAATTTCATTACTTGCACTTTCTTACCTGGCAAACGGCAGTGGTGTTACAGTGGCACGCCATCCAGAAAAAGAACGAAAACCAACAGCAGCGGTGAATAGCAGCAACAATCTGCAGCAGCAGCGAACAGCAATGAAGAACAGTATAACAGCAGCGATATATAGTAGCAGCGAACTGCGATAAAGAGCTGAAGCAGTGAATGGCAGCAGCGATATGCAGTAGCAGCGAACAGCGACGAAGAGCAATAGCAGTTAATGACAGCAGCGATGTATAGTAGCAGCGAACTGAGATGAAGAACAGTATAGCAGCAGTCTGCACGTGTTTCCTTTTACAATAGCGGTTTTTCACTAGCTGATGCTGGTATTTTACAAATCCAGTTACTGCTTGCGGAATTTTCCTTTTACTCAATTTTACTGATATTCACTTCACAACCACTTCACACGCGGCAAATAAACCATAAAGACGAATCAATATTACGATGCTACCAGTTGCAGCTCTAGAATATATTCACGAAATTTAGTTTAAAAAACCATTTTTTTTTTTAGCGGTTTTTGTCTGGTGCTGATACTTCACCACACCGACATTCACCGTAACCAATTCACACGTGGAAAATGAAAATTAGACTCAACGCGAATCACGATGCTGCCAATTGCAGCTCCACCGAACTATGGTCACTAAATTTTACTTTTCGTAAAATTTTTTAATTATTTATTATTTTATTTCAAGTCCCTGCTCGGGCGCCAATGAAAAATACAAGAGTTTTTGTATTTTTTGAAGTTATAATAAAAAAAATTAAAATTATATTTTTTTATAAGTTGTTCAAGTTTGTTTTATTGAAATTAATTCACTTAAAAGATTAATTTATTAATTTAATTTATTAATTGATTATTAATTAATTTATTTAAAAGATTGAAATTTAAAAGAAATTTTAAATAAAGAATATCAAAGAACAAAACGCGTGCTGTTCACTTGGGACTTGAAAATGCAAGAGAGAGAATCAAAAAACCCAGTTCAGTCTGGAAGCTAAAGAACTGTATAAAATTAAAGTTGTTGTTATTTTTTGTTATATATTAAGATTACCGTATGTAATATGCAAGGTTGACGAAAGTCAACATTGGGTTGCATATTGACAACAAAAAATGAGCAGCACGCGTTTTATTTTAACTACTTTAAACAAAAAATGCAATATAAAAATGAAAACATTCAACAACAATAATAACAAACAATAACAAATCAACAAAACACGCCAACACCAGTTTTTTATTTTTATGAAATATTTTTGTCACATTTGGTTTTGAATAATATTAAATATATATAATTCATAATATATATCTAATGTACCTTGTTTTAAATGATTAAAATACTTTATTTTAAATAATAAAGTGCTAATTAAAAATTGGTAATTACAAACACATTCGGAACTACGCGTAGTAAGTAAACAAAACCGCGGCGAAATAAAAAGAAGAGGAAAAACATGCAAATATGAAAAGACACAAGAAGTACAAAATCTAACACAAAAAGTTCATCTTTACGGCGACGTTAACAACAGCAATTAATACCGGTGCGCTACACCAAAAAGCTCCGGTATGTTCGGCATAAAAGAAGGAAAATTTGATATGATAGGGGACTTGGATTTTGACTAGTGAAGAAGCAAGTACTCTGGCTCATTCGGCCTTCTGGTAAATTTTACTAACGACTTAAATTTTCACTCATACAAAGACAAGTACACTGGTCTATTTGGTATTCTGGCACATTTTGCCAAAACCTGGCTCCTTCAGCCAAATGAAGTTAGAAATTATCCTTGTCATATGTTTTACTTTTGAATTTTTTTGTTTTAACCTGGCTCATTCGGCCAAATGATTATTTTCCACAGCACATAGTAACCGGTTTTTTTTACAACAGAGGAGGGGAACCCAGGACATCACGCTGTCCTGCCAGGAGTCTTTTAGGAAAACGAACCGAAGCTAAAAGTAAAAAAAAACCTCGTCAACGAGTATTACAGTGAGCAGAAACGTAAATCTACATTAAGGTCATAGTCACCCACAGCAGTAATAATTTTTGTGTGCCCGTCGTCAACGGTGATGCACTTTTTTTTTTCTTTAGTTATTAAACAAAAGGAATACTTTAATTGAATTATAATTTATCATATGTTAAATAGTTTATTCAGCAATTATTTAATTACACTTTGTTATAATAAGTTTCTTTTATGAAGTAAATAAAATATATAATTAATATATATAATCAACGTTCTTTTCTTCTAAAACTACGTCTCAGCAAAAATATAAATATATTGTCTCGACTCTGGACGACGGCTGAGGATACCCCAGCAAAACCTAAAGATTTTTGAACGTCACCCAAAAGTGTCGTTACAAACTTAATTTTTTAACTACTTCTATTTCAAAAATTAATTTAATTAAATATTCAAAAATAATAAAAATTATATAATAATTGTTAATGAATTAACATCTAAGGAAATGAATTGACAGCACTTAAACTGTAACTCTTTAATTAAAGGTTGAGTTTTCAGCACTTGAACTGAAACTCTGGAAATGAAAGTGAGAGATCGAATATTGGTTTCAATCTGATTTTTATTAAATTAAATTTTTCCTTAAATACTAAATTATTACAAATTATTACAATAACAATATCTAAATTTTATTTTTTTCCTTTACCGTCTTCTTGCCTAAAGTGCAAGCTCAGCATATATTATGCAACCAAATTCTTTGTTGTGTCTAGCAACCAAGAATTAATGCCAATGCACTGGCCTTGATATATGTTACATATTCAAAGTTCAGTGCCACTGCACTTAATAAAAAATATAATGCAAATATTCAAGTTCAGTGCCACTGCATTTTACCAAATTAAATAATGCAAAGGAAAGTCAAAGTTTGGATATTGCTAACATCAGCATATATGTTTAAATTTTACAAATATTGTACAATAATAACAATAGCAATAATAATAATATTTTACAATAATAGTAATAATAATATTTTACAATAATAATAATAAAATGTGTGAACATGCTGCCCGCCTTGAATTGACAACATCAATTCTAATTATTGGAAGCTGCAAGTCAACATGCTGTATCCTCGGTCATCTGCTGATGTCGTGGCATCGGTATTGGAGGTGTTTGATGGGTGATTTTTTGCCTTCGCCATATATATAATAGTGCACTAGCGACACATAGAAACATTGCTAATGCAACGTAGCTGGTTATTAGACTATGTGTCCCTGGACTAATAGCATCAGTTGGAAAACTGGAACTCTGGATGTGGCCTAATTTTCGTTGAATAAGTTCAAGCTCATGGATTGTGGGTGACAATGGTTTGACGCTGATGTTATTGCTCGCATATTGTTTTGTCCATCCTACAGATAGGTTCAATCTGGTGATCGATGCCTGCATTGAAGTAACCATTTTTTGATGACCTTGAATCGTAATGTGTTCATTTTTGATGATGCATTCAGGTTCTAATTTAATCAAACCACTGCCCACTAAAGTTAATTGAAATGCTTTCTTATTGCATACTGCATTCATTTTGATGTTATTTATGGTTGCGTAAATCCATTGATTAGGATGATTTAGTTGATACCATACAGTTGTGTCCTTGAGCTGATACATATCGCATCTTGGTTCAGCTTGATTGTTAAATAAGTCAATTTCACAATTATTGACGTTTGACGATTCATGAAATGTTGCTTGTATGTTTGGACATAATAACTCTTCGTCACTTATCGATATGCATGCGTCCACTTGATGCTGTGTCATTGGTCGAAATTCATCATGATGCGGACTGATGGCTAGAAATTCTGAAATTCTGAAAGTTTCACTGATAAAAGTGTGTTATTTATAGCTGCCACAATTGGAACAAGATATAACAGTTGAAATTCTCTTGGATCCGTGAGAGGTAAGTCGATGCAATAAATGACATGGCCCTTTGCCAGGATTCCGTTGATCTTCATGAGCCTATATACTTCGAGTAAGTTATTGTGGTGGATAGGTAACTGTAGGTGTGATGGAAGATGTGCCCTAATCATCATTATTTGCTCACTAAGCTGTTGTGGAGTCAGCAGAAGAGGATTTATTTTATCGTGATGACTGTCGATTAGTACGTCCATAATTGATGAGTGAACTCTTTGCAGGTTGGATACCATCATGAGCATTTGCATTGACAACATAAGCATGTTTTGTGTTACGTGTATGTCGTTTATTGACTCATCTGTATCCAACAAGTTATTGATGCGCTTTTCAATTTCTTCAAATTTGTCATGCATGTTTAATTGGTTCTTCTTAAAGATATTGATAGTTGAATCAACAAGTGACGTTTGGTTTTTAACGAGTTGTTCCAGGTGATTGTCGTTCCTTTTAAGACCATTGATTGTGCTTGACATTTGTGCCGCGTAGTTTGAGTCGAGGACACCAAACAATGAATTGGCAAAATTTCCGACAATGTCTATAGCTCCTCTTGCTATTCTTTTTTTAACAGAGAGAAGATTAAGTTCCATTTGCAGTTCCTCCGTTATACGGTCAAAATAGTTGAGTAATACCTTGCAAGCAGTGTTATCCAATGCCTTGTCGCATAAATTGTTTAAAATTTTTGGTCCATCAGCTAAAATACTCATTTGTTGTTGGTATGGGGAAAGGTCAAAATATACAATCATTTTCCAATCAGCAGACATGATTTTGACTGGTTTAAGCTGCTCAAAATAAATGCCAGGTTTGTTGTTGAAGGTTGTTATATTGACGGGACTACATAGTGCAAGTGGCAAAATGAGTAGAGTAATAATGGTGAGCAGCAACCCGGAATTCAGACATGATCGTTTTGTCGGAGTTAACCCATTGACTAATGATTCAGGTTTTCTGATGCGATTTAATGGAATTTTTACGATAAGCGACACGGAAGGTGACCTTGGAGTTTCTTGAGTCTGTTCTGATTCGATTTTTCTTTCAGTCATTTTTCCAAAGGTTGGATCTTCTAATTTATCGTCTTCAGGAAATAATGGAGCTAATCTATGCACCGGTCTTTTAAATACTCCCTTTTTTGTTTGAATGTCACAAACTCTCACTAAACCATCTTCGCCTTTGTA